GAAGCCGATCCGATTCCGTGAAGCACTGACAGTGTTTACGATGACTTCGCTCGATGACATGCGTGAGGATGTAGTGCAGAAAGAGCTCGACTCTGCTGACGAGTGCGTCGTCGACACGGATCGTCGTTGGGACATTTCGACCATGACAGTCGCAGAAGCTTTGCAGAGTTGGAAAGGTGAAGCAGTCAAAGCTGCAATGGATGCAGAGATGCAGACTCTCTACGAACAAGAGACTTGGGAGCTGGTTCCTCGACCGCCTGGGGTTAATGTCATAAAGAATCGATGGGTTTTGACGACGAAGTACAACCCAGACGATACGGTCGACCGAGAGAAGGGTCGACTTGTCGTCAAAGGATACACGCAGACCCCTGACGACTTCGACGCTATATCTGCCCCCGTCGGAAGCTACGGAACTGCTCGGATGCATCTGTCGAACGCAGCTGACGGAAATTTGGAGTTGATGCAACTCGACATGACAAATGCATTTCTGAATGCGAAACTTGATCGTCCTCTCTTCATGGAGCAGCCCGATTTCTACAACGACGGGACGGGTCGAGTCTGCATGCTGAAGAAAAGCCTGTATGGACTGAAGCAGAGTCCGATGTTGTGGTACGAGGCCCTCGACGAAGTGCTGGAAGATGCAGGATGGTCGAAGAGTCAGGTCGACGAAGCTTTCTACTTCCACGAGGACGAGAACCATGACATGTGTTGGGTGCTCGTCTACGTCGACGATCTGCTCGCCGCGAGCCGCAGCAAGGAACATCTGGCAGAACTGAAGGCGCTGCTCGAAAACGCCTTCAAATTGCGGGAGATCAGCCCTGTCAACAAGTACCTGGGACTGGAGCTGATCAGAGACAGGGCAGCGGGGAAGATCAGGCTGCATCAGAGAGGCTACGTCGACAGGGTGCAGAGGCGTTTTCTGCCAGAAGGACCTCCTCAGCGAGTTCCGAAGACGCCAATTTCGGTCGACGCCTTCAAGGTGCTGACATTTGACGACGAGAAGTTGCAGGCGCGCACAGAAGAAGAGTATCGGCAGAGGGTCGCAGTTCGCTGCCTGCACTACTCGCCTCTCTGCAGTTCGCTGCCTGCACTACTCGCCCCGACATCTCCTTCGCCTACAGCAAACTTGCGTCTGGTCAAACGGTTCGAAGCGACCAGCATTGGAGGGAGCTCGACCGCTGCATTGCGTACCTTGTTGGGACGCGCGACGTTGCTCTCGAGTTCGGCGGCGGAAATGGAGAGATGTGTCTCGTCGGCTTCGCAGATGCAGATGATGCAGGAGACAAGCAGAATCGCAGCAGCACGGGTGGCTACATTTTCACTCTCGGTGGAGCTGCTATTTCATGGTCAAGTCAGAGGATCAGGTGCATCGCTCTCTCTTCTACAGAGTCGGAATACATCGCTGCAGTGGAAGCTGGAAAGGAAGCCCGAAAGCTCCGTTATCTGATGGCAGAATTTCGCATGCTCGACGAGACGTCACCAACGATCATTCATGTCGACAATCAATCTGCGATTTCTGTGTCTGAAGGAATGGGGCTCAAGGGAAAGCTGAAGCACATGGAGCGGCGCTACATGTGGCTGCAGAGCAGGGCTGACTTTTCGAATAAAACCACTCTGATTTTTTTGGCCCCCCAATTTTTTTTAGTCTGAGGCCCATTTTCCAAAAAGTGAATACTCTGATTTCTCAGGAACCAGAGAAGTATAACTCTGAAAATTTTATAATTCAGAGACTAAGGCAGGTTTTCCTACTAACGAACCTTTTGCACAAGTTCGGAGGGATGGGTTTTCCTCGAAGTAACAGGTATGGCGAAGGGGAGTTCGTACTCTGTAGTATGATAACTCATTATCCGGTAAGCAAGTTCTCTGAATTTTTCAGTATCGAAAAACCATTAGTCTGAAGCACTCATTTTTCAAAACCAGCCAACTCTGAAAAATCAGGAATGTCAGGAAAATAGTCTGAAATTTCAGACAATCAGACTAAAATAGTCTGATATCGTCAGCCCTGCTGCAGAGCATGGTGAAACGTCGCAAGATGAAGCTGCAGTACATTCCGACGACCGAGCAGCCGGCAGATTACTTGACGAAAGCACTACATTTCCCTGCGTTCAACAACTGCTTTGAGAAAGTTGGTCAAGTAAGGCTTTCGGCAAAGGGGAGCAGTGCAGAGGGTCCTCTCGGCGAGGAATAGGTGCCATGACCTTATCATGGCTGGTGCGGTGGTGTGTGTGAATTGCAGATTTCTGCAATTCCTTGTGTGTTTGTTTTTCTGCATATTTGTTTTTGTTTTTTTTCTTTTCTTTCTGTTCTTCCCTGGTGTGTGGTGTAGACGGGTCAATGTTCTCTGCGACGACCAAGCATGATCAATGCAGGGGAGTGTTGAGTTGGCATTGACCCTGCAGATCTGGTCGTCGCGCTCTGCAGGGAGGAAAATCCGCCGAAGCGAATTCTGCATCCTAGGTCGAGGTGGAGCTCTGCAGAGGAGGACGAATCTGCAGAGTAGACCGTGGTGCTGCAGAGGATGACGAATCTGCAGAGCAGTTTGTGGTGCTGCAGAAGAGGGCGCATCTGCAGAGATTTCGGAGCTGCAGAAGAAGGCGCGTCCGCAGAAACGAAATTCTGCAGAGGACCACAATCTCGACCGGCGAACCCTTCCGACGCGAAAACGCGATCGTTTCGGAACTTTTGCGTGGGAATTTCGGAACATTGCGGACATTGAGAAATTGACCCCGGGGAACAGTGCGCGGAACTGGGGTGTTCAATCTGGGGCGAAATTGAACCACCTGCACAGAATGAACCTGGCGCACGTTTTCGTAACTATGAAAACGTACGTTACAGAAGTTGTTTAAAACAACCTGAACAGCTAAAACAACTACTTTTAGGTAGGTAAAAATCACCAACTAAGCACGTGTTGTAATTTTCACCTGCCGACGTTGAGTTGGCAAAGCGCAGCTAAAAGTAGTTATGTAAACGTTCTTGGGTGAACGTTCTCTGCATGGTTCATTGGTTGGGTAGCTTCTATTTCACCCCTTGTTGTATTCTATTTTCAATCTATTCTAGTGAATTTTCTGTGTGTGCCAAATCTATGCCTTCAAGGACTTAGACAAATTTCTGTCTCCTTAGTGAACCACCAATATCGTGTCTACGCAGAAAGCATTCCGTAGAGCTCGTTCATCCGTTAGAGTAGAAATCTCTGCAGTTCTCGCCCAAAGGCAGAGAGTGTGGTCCAGCCGAGATTCGAACCCTAGGCTCTGCCACCGGTATAACACCTCGCTACCCACAGGGTCAAAACAATGGCGTTATTTGGCGCAGCGGAGTGCCCTTAACACAGCCCACAGGCGTTACAAATGGGGCACTGAGGAAATCGGGGAAACGGAGATGCCTTGAGACGGCAAAGAACGGAGCTGAGGCAAGCCCTACTGGTTGAATGATTAAATCCTCCAGCATGGGAGCGGCCTCAGCCTTACGCTGGCTATCAGCGAGGGTCGGCCCGTCGAGCAAGCGGCGTGCAGAGGCGCCGGGGGTGCCGAGGACGCCCGTGCCGCGGGAATGCTGCTCATCGGCGTGGCTCCACTCGCCCACTGCCGGCGCCGGCGCCATCATGTCGCTTTCGTCGCCGGAAATCGCCGCCGCGACGTGAGGAGACGCGGTGGAAATGACAAAATGCTGTGTGAAGAGGACGAGGAGCAGTGGTAGCAGAGTGAGAAGGAAACCGGACGGCGGCTGATAGCAACGACAGTCTGCGCCCTTGTGAAAAAAACTGCGAGGCGGCGCCATGATCATAGTTCGTATGAAAAAACTTCCAACTTGGGCTCTAAAGTAGGGGCCGTGCTGGCGTGGAATTTCATCTAAGCTGTCAGTGGAAAGCCGAGAACTGTGTTGTGTTGATATATCAGCATAAGTTCCACCATCTCTTCCATCACAAGTTTATGCTCGCAGGCGGGCTTCTTCTGGGGTCACTCTGCTCAAAGTGCGTGACTTGCACGTGGGTACCGAAAGTGTACATTGGCTGGACGCTATCAATTTCCAACACAACAAGGCACAGCTGCATTTTGATAAGGCTCTGTGATTGGCTAGCGAGTGCTGCTTGAGTTTCGCCTTCGATTATTGTCAGGTCACAGAAGCGCGCGCAGTGCAACAAATGTGCTTCCTCCAATCTTACTGGTCACTTCCGCACATGCGACGCCAACGCGGCGCTTTCGTGCAAAGTCAGCACTCGCAAGATGACAGCGAGATTCGATAGCGAGCGCTGGCTCCAAGTAATCTGTACACTCAAGTGACAGTCAGGGTAGTCTAGAATCAAATAGCGCAGTACCTGCCTGGTCTTTCCGCTCAAAACCCAAAACCAGCTACTGATTTTCCAGCCTTTTCTCCAATAGTGTGCTGATACCTTACCCAACGACACGCACGTACCTATGCTGATCGATCAGCTTGCCCAAAGCTAATCTGGGCCCCATACTCAAACCCACCAAAGGTGCCGCACCGCCACATCACCGCATGGATATACACCAAGATCAAGTGTTGTGTTGTGTGTCCCTTCCCTTCCCCTCCCCTTCCGGCTGGTTCAAAACGTCACTTCACATACTTCCTAACGAGCTTCTCAGCTTGTGTGTAGCGATAAAAACTCCAAACCATTTCATATACAAAACCCCGGTCGGTCACTCCCCACACCATCCAAGATGACCAGCAAGAGATCTCCCTTCTTCACTCGTCATCCCACCTGCCCAGTAACCCCCGGGCGTCCTCCCTGGGCAGCAGCAGGGAGAGCAGGAAGCGCAACCCCCTAAAGAGACGCGCCTGTGCCTCCCACACTAGCAGACGGGGCAGATGCGCGCTGGTAGAGGGGACAGGAGGGGATTGGGCAGTATTTAATGGAAGACCACGGGTAAATAGGAACCACTACAAAAAGAAAGTCGTGCAGAAGGGTGCACAAACAGCACATACTTGGGGGTCATAAAGGATCATGAACACATGAGGGTTTTAAGGTGAGGAAAAACAGGGAATTAGGTGGGATGAGAGTTGGGACAAGAAGATTCCCACTTGTAGAGGTCTCCAATGAACGGCAGGTGCGAGATGACTGGGTTGCGCTGGAAGAAGTCTCTCTGAAACTTCACTCGCTTCAGCGGCCGCACTGCTGGTTGCGGTGCTACTGCTGCTGTCCTTGCTGCCCCATGGCCCTCCTCCCCAGCAAACTGACTGCTCCCCCCCGCCTCTGATGCAGAGGCAGAGCCAGCAGCGGCAGGTGTGGGAGGAATGGCAGATGGTGTGGCAGCAGAGGGTTCCGATGTTCTGCCTTCCTTGGCAGGAGGTAGGGGAGGAGGTGTGAGGCCGTGCAAGGGATAGTCTTCCTGGGGGAGTAGGGGAAGGGAGAAGATGGGCGGAAACACAACGGGAGGAAAAGGCTGAGGGTGGAAGTAGAGAAAACAGGGTCGGCGATGGGTATGAGAGCTTGTATAAGGAAGCATTGGGATGGGAATGGGACATTGAGCAGGATGTAATCAATGGTGGCATGAGAGACACGATGAACCATGGGATAATAGGGATGGTACACGGGTGAAAGAGCGTGCCATTGCAGCAGGATAGAAGATCGTCGCCAGTCACCTCGTTCTTGCAACGGAAGCTCCCATGGAGAGGGGCTTGCAGGGGGAGGGGCTTGCAGGGGGAGGGGCTTGCAGGGGGAGGGGCTTGCAGGGGGAGGGGCTTGCAGGGGGAGGGGCTTGCAGGGGGAGGGGCTTGCAGGGAGAGGGGTCGCAGGGAGAGGGGCTAACAGAGAGGGGGGGCTCGCAGAAAGATGGGATGTGGGCGTTACCAGTGGGATGTCCTCGAGCTCGAGCAGCACACAGAGGTCAAAGTGGGCGAGGCAGCCGAGCTTGAAGAGCGGGCGCGTGAAGACTGTGACGTAGAGAGAGAGTGCGTCCTCCACAGGGTCGTACAGCACGCGGTGCACTCGCACCCCCTGGTACTGCAATACCACGTGCGCCATCTGAGGGAGGGGTGGAGATGAGAGGGCAGAGAGGAGGGCAGAGGGGAGAATGGAGAGGAAGTGGAAGCAGGGGTATGGAGTACAGCATGCACGCGGGCACTCGCACCCCCTGGTACTGCAACACCACGTGCGCCATCTGGGGGAAGGGCGGGACGAGAGGGCAGAGAGGAGGGCGGAGAGGAACGAGAGGAGGGCAGAGAGGAGGGTGGAGAGGAAGGAGAGGAGGGTGGGCAGAGGTATGGAGTACGGCTGCGATGGTAGGTGTGGTTGACACTATGGATTGAAACATCGCCACACACCGATGCACGTCACAATTCAGATCCTCACGTCTAGGACCCCGTCTCTCCTCTCCCTTCTCCACTCTCTCCTCTCTCCTTTCCCCTCTCTCCTCTCTCTTCTACCCTCTCTCCTCTCTCTCCTCTAGCTGCAACCCCTAACTGCTCTCCTTCCCTCCTCTCGTCCACCCCCCCCCCCCCTCCTCGTCTCCGCCTATCTCCCCCAACGGACCTGGCGTGGCGAGGAGCCGCGGGGGCTTGGGTCGCTGCGCTGCACCTGCTGAGCGTAGCGGACAACCCACCTGGTGGATGCGTTCAGGCGGTCGCAACACCCACCTCACCCCACTTCACCACACTCCACGTCACCCCACCCAACACCCACCCCACCCCACCGCACTTCACCCCACATCACCCCATACCACCGCACCTGGTAGATGCAGGTGAGGTCGGCGGCGCCACTGGCGACGTCTACGAGGAAGTGGGTGAAGCGCACGCGCGGGGAGAAGCACCGCCGAATCACCTCCGCCTGCCGCCGCAGCGTCGGTCGCGTCACCAGCGCGCCGATCACCGCCACCGCGTCGCGCCGCGGGTCCTCCACTCCCCACAGCTCCCTTTCCGCCGCCTCTCCTCCGCCCTTCCGTCCGCAGCTTTTTCGAAAAGTTCAAGCGCTCCTGCCTCGAAACGACAGCACGGGTAACGAGTGCGTTCTCCCTCAACGCTCCGAGGCCCGACCCCCCGTCCCTCCACTCACACCGCCGTGTGATGGCCAAGCGAGGAACGGTCCGCCGTCGAGTTTCGCAATTGGGCGAACGAGGAGGACGGAAATTCGCCGAGAATTCACGACGTTCCTGATGCGGCTCCGCAAAACAGGTTTCCCAGCGGCGTGGGAACCCTCATCGCTGATCGCCGCTTCCCGCTGTTAACGCCAAGTCGTCGAGAGCTGCGCGGCGGTGCCGGTCAGACGAAACCTTGCTGCCCCTTCGCAACACCGCGGCGCTGCTGTGACGAGGCGAGGCAGGCAGCCATTCGTCGGCAGCGCGTTGGTCCGTCTGACGACCACCCGAGCGATGACTCGCGATGGTTGTGTTCGACTGGGACGACGATGCCTGCATGCCCGAGTCGCGAAGGGTAACCGCATCGGTTCTCGCTTTTTCCGCGAGCTGCGAATAATCTGCCGCATGGTGACGCACATCGGCGGATGTCGTTGACATATCCTCCTCTCGTTCCGCCTCGTGCGCCTTTGTCGCAACCTCGGCACGCCTCACTCGCTGCGCCATGCCACGCGGTGCCCGCCAGGCCACTGCCCTCTTCGGCTTTGCTTGTAGTTCTCCTAGTCTTGCCATCAATGATAAAAGCGATATTGAAGTGGCTGTTACGTGTGCAATGGACCCACCTAACGAGTATTGCACTAACGGGAAACAAATATACATCATACAAATCAATATGAGCGAAAATTATAACGAGTATGAGCGACACAACGACTTTCGTACAATACATCTCACTTGGGAAGCTTTTCGTTCTCCCCCCCCCCCCAAAAAAACCAGCAGAATTGCCTTGATGGCTACATGCATATCATCGCGCCACAATCCTCTCTCCGCGTCCATTCTTCCCGTCTCTCCCCTTCGCGCAAACCCCGCGGCTTTGCTGCTGCTACCCTGCCGCCTCGCAGCGCCTTGCTTGCATGCTTCCGGCCGCCGTGATGGCGGAAGCCGCTTTTCTGCGGAGGTCGTTCCGCTTCCCCCGTCCCCCCGTGCGTATACTTCCCCCGCTCCTAGCGGGGCGGGTGGTGTTAGTGACCGCGCCTGCGCCGTACGACGCGGCGCTGAGCGCGGCAGTGCGGGAAGCAGGCGGGGAAGCAGTGGCGTGCAGCATGGTGGCGACAGACGTGGGCGATGAAGCGTGCCGGCGAGCAGTGGAACAGTTCCTAGTGGGGGCTGCGGGCGGGCGGCAGAGCGAGGACGCTGGCGGGGCGAGTGAGGGAGAGAGTGAGGGAGTGAGTGAGGGGGTGCAGGACGTGGCAGCCATAGCGTTCACGTCTCGCAACGGCATCACGGCCTTTGCAAATGCGGTGCAGCGACTGCCACAGCACGTGCTGCCAGCTGCATGGAGAGCAACAGTCGCTCCCAGCCAACCCCAGCAACCCCTATAACAGCAACAGCGACTGCAGCAAAGCGAGGAGGAACAGAGGTCTCAGGATCGTAAGCACCTTAGTCGGCAATAGTCTACTTGCTATCGCCTATCGTGTTCTCCACGATCTCCCGAATCCAATGATATGCGCAGCTCTGCTTGAAGTTGTCAATACACACTTCAGCAATTTTCAGAATCTGATTGGTATCAATGTTGTGATTTCCAGAATGAGTACAAGCAGTTTTATAGTCAAGCAAGACACAAAATGCGATTCGTAACTTCACTTGTTTCCCAAGTAACCGCGTGCGCCTCGTTTCACCCCGAGTCGCACACGGAACCGAACCGAATTCGCCGAACACTCCTCGAGTCCGAATCCAGCACCTTCTCGAACACGCCTCAGTCTCGAACCACAATTTCCCCTTGTCAACTCCAATCTCGATACTTCTTCACTCTTCTTCCTCCATTTCTCTAGTTTCTTCCCAATTTCTCTCTTGCTTCTCACGCCGTAGCTTCCATTCTCCACCGTAGGCCGATTTCCACCGTTTCACCTAGAATCATCCACGTGCTTCCATTTCGCCGTCATTCCGCCGTCGTAGAAGCTTTCGCCGTAGGTTCCGTGGTTGGGCGAACCAACCCTAACAAGAGGCAGCAGGACGAGCAGGAACATCAGCAGCAGAGCACCACACCCCTCAGCACCGCGCCATGCTCTCCTCTCCTCATCGGTGCTCTGGGTCGGGACGCCGAGCTGCTCTCCTCGCTCGGCCCCATCATCTCCCACCCCTCCGCACGCCTCGTCCTACCACCTGTCGCCACGCCATTGGCCCTAGCAGACGCCCTGGGTCCAGGGGACGGGCGCATAGTAGCATGCCCTGTGCCGCGGGTGGAAGGGCTAGAAGAACCCCCAGTGGTGCCCACGTTCCTGCGTGCTTTGGAGGAAAGAGGCTGGTGAGTGCTGCGTATCGACTGCTATGTCACCCGCTGGACTGGCACCCGTGCACTCATGCCCGTTCTTGCTGGTGCCAGTAATTCGCAAGGCGGGGGAGATACTAGTGGGGACGGAGAGGGAGGTGAGTTGGGTGAGTTACGAGCAGCAGAAGGGGCGGTGAGCATGCACCCGTCAGTGGCTGCCGTGGTGTTCTCCAGCACAGCAGAGGCACAGGGCTTTGTGGCCTGCTGCCATGCCATGGGCGTGCACCCTCTGCGCTTCCTGGGCAGACACGAATCGCAACCTCCTCATTCCCCTCCTGGTGCTGATGCTGCAGACGGCAGTGGGGTGAGCAGGCGGGGGGTGGTGGTGGCAGCGCACGGGCCGGTGACAGCGGAGGGAGTGCGCAATGCGGGGTTGCCTGTGGACGTGGTGAGCCAGCAGTTCAGCAGCTTTGCAGGTGTTGTGGATGCCCTTGCTGCACATCTTGGTCACTTGGATTGAATTTCACGAGGAGTTACCGTAGATTGATCTGTCTTGCAACGCAACTGGCTCTTCTGCTCCCAAGGGGTTGAATTCAGTGCTGCAATGCATGACATGTGCACCTGGCATGGGCCGTCCGCCCAGCATTACTTGTTAACTCCGTTCTAGTCATAATAATGACAGTGTAGGCAGCCATATGAGGTATCAAACTCCTCTGCAGATACGAGGTATCATCCACTTGCATTTGATGCGATTACATTTGACATCACTGAGGCAAACTGTCAATCAGTAGGAGGTTTAAAACAGTGTCAGTACAATGCAAATTTTCGACATAATTGTGGTGCAACCAGCACACAAACTCCAAGAAACTACGGTAAAACACGGCTGCTGGCAGTGGTGACACTTGATTCTAACACTCGTCCTCATGTGGGCTCTGATGGTTGCAGGGAGCACGGCACTCCATAGCACACAGGAGCCAGCCCAATCAAATGCCGCAGCCGACACACACTCCTCGCTTCCGCCACAGTCCCTCCCACACACACACACTTGCACTCCGGAAGCACCAGCACCGAATCCCCCCTCTCCCCACCGCCCCCCACCCCTTCCTCACACAGTTCCACCTTCTCACACTCACACGAACCACCCCCACGCTTCTCCCTCTCCCCAACCCCACTCCCACACCCCACCACCCGAGCCTTCCCAACCCAGCTTTCCAGAATCCGCTGTGAGTATCTGTCAATGTCCCCATCTGTGACGTCCCACAGGTTACCCACGATGGCAGGGCAGCCAGCAGCCAGGTAGTTGAGTGGTACGCCCAGGGGCTCGTAGTCCCCGCGGGGGGAGAGGCGAGCACTGCTGCAGCCCATGAGGAGAGAGAGCGCACAGCGAGAGAGCTTCTTGAGGTACGAGCGATGCAGGTACTGCTCACCTGGTGGTGGGGAAAGGGGAGCGGGTGGGGAGGAGGAAGGAAGATCGTTCAGGAGAGGAGAGGAGAGAGGGGGAGGGTGAGGAATGAGAGGAGGGAAGGGCTAAGAGTGTGTGGAGGGGTGCATTTGCGATGGAGGTTTGGGAGGAGACCAGCCACGGAGCTCGCCAGGGAGAGGCACTTGGAAAGCGACAACCCAGCAAGGCACAATAATAGTGCAATGAATGGTATAGAGTGTTGGTAGCATGGGGAGGGGAAGGAAGACGGGGAGGAGTATGGGGAGGAGGAGGTACCACTGCCATGGCCGCAGTAGACAAAGAGGCTGTAGTGCTCCAGTGCCTTCATGAACTCCTCCTCTGATGGCGCCTCACACACCTTGCCCTGCTCGCCATGCACACAAGAGAGGGGATAGAGAATATCAGTAGAGGAGAAGCAACCACGACGAGGAGCAGAGATGAAAGACAAGCATGTGACCTTCCACACACACAAGCACGTGCTTCCGTCCGTACGCACACATGCACGCACGCAGATTAACACACCCAGGGCACGAACCATGCATGTGCATGCAGAGGCACGTGCATGTCAAAAGACACCCCCCCACATCCATGCATGCATGCACGCATGTCAGCTCACCTTCCATGTGCGCTGCTGCTTGAACCACGCCTCAAACGTGCCCTGAGTGGACTTGAGGTCCCCAGACGGGTTCAGCAGGTAAAACGCACTCCTCGCGTCCACTCTCACCCGCACCTGCCCCTCTGCTCCCTGCCCCGCCTTCCCACTCCCACCCACCCCGCCACCCTGCTTCCTCTCCCCTTTCATCCTTCCTTGCTGCTGCGTCTGCTGGTGCTTCCCAGGCAGACCAGCATGCTGGTGGTGCGCGAGCAGGGAGAGCAGAGCAGTGAAGGAAGGCAGGCGGTAGATGCGCTGCTGGGCCAGACAGGGCAGGCCTTCCCATGGCAGTGCCTGGAGAGGAATGGAAAAAGGTGAAGGGGAAAACAGGAGGGTTTACATGGGTTAAAATGGGTTCTCGCAGAGTTGAAGAAATTAACTATTTTCTTTTCATAATGGATTGACATGCAGAGAGGAGTCCATGTCTCAGTCACATTCACGCACCTGTATGGCGCTATCAAGAATCAGCTGCACCGGTTGCCACTGCACCATGCGCTTCCCTCCACCCATCTCCTTCAACTGCACCTCCACCTTCTTCGACCCTCGTCCCCCATTCCCATTGCTGCCACGCCTCACAGCAGCGCCAGCACCAGCGCCCCCTCCCTTTCCTCCACCTGCAGCAGCAGCCTCTGCTGCTCTCTGAAGAGCCCTGTCAACAATCTGCCTCATCTTCTCCCCCTGTGCCTCCACTGCCGCAGCTGCTCTCGCACACATGTGCCCTCCTCCCGCTTCCACCAGCGGCAATGCAGAGAGTGCTTGGTGAGCTGTGGCAGCGAGCTCTTCCAAGTCAACGGACAGAGCAGCAAGGGCATCAGAGGCAGTGGATGCGGCCAATGAGGTAGCAGCAGCAGTAGCTGTCACAGGAGCTTTCTGAGTTGTCCCAGCAGCAGAGGCAGCACGGAACAGCAGGTGAATGATGAAGGCCGCGCGCTGCATCTGCAGGGCCTGCTGCACAGCGACCAGCGAGCACACGGGGTCATCACAGCTGCACTGTATTGCCTCTCTCACCCTCTCGCACCCTGCCACCACACCCCACCCCTCTCCACCCCTACCAGAACCAGACTCAACGCCAGCAACCTGGGCAAGCTCCCTTCCTGCTGCCAATAAAAGATCACCAGCCACTGAGCCACCGTCAGCAGCATCAACAGCATCACCTTCACAGGGCTGTCCTAGAAGCAGAAACGCCCACGGCCCCAGCAGCTGCCTCTCCATACCTCTCAGCATAACCTGCAGGCGCTCATCCAACGTGAGCCTCCACTTCCACCATGCTGCCTTGCTCTCCTTTGATGCTGCACTCGCGCCCGCTGCCATAGACACACTGCTCTCCTTCATAATCGCCTCAAACTCCCTCCTCGTCTGCTGCATTGGCCCCTCAATCCACTGCACCTTCTGCCTCCCCTGCTGCCCCCCTGCATCTGTGGCTGGTGTTGCACCTTCCCTCCCTCCACCTGTCACCCTTCCAGCCACCGCCGCCGCCGCCGCTGCTGCTGCTACCACTGCTGCAGAAGCAGCTGCTGCCCTGTGCTGTGCTGTGGGGTCGTGTCTGGTAGGCCGGTCGCGGACACAGGAAGACTCAGACTCACAGGACGAGGCAGCAGGCGAGGAGTAGGGCGAGGAAGATGGAGATGAAACCTCATCCTTCTGCTTTCCCTTCTTCCCCTTTCCTACCTTCCCCTTTGCTGCAGCAGCCTTCGCAGTGGCCTTCCCAGCAGCCTTCTTCCCTGCCTCTTTGCTTCTGCCTGCAGTTGCTGCTTCCTTGCTCCCTGCCTTGCTTTTCCCTCGCCCTCGCCCTCCCTTCTTGCTTGGCCCGTTAGCACTCCCTTGACCCTCCTCCACGCAGCTTTCCTCTCCTGCATCCTCCCATGCGTTCCCACCTCCCAATCCAGCCTGCACAGCTCCTCCTGCTGTCACGGCCCCTCCACTGAAAGCGGCATCACCACCACCAACAGCAGCGGCAGCAGCAGAAGCGGCGGCAGCAGCAGTGCACGGTACAAGCAGCACCAGAGGCGGAGCGCCAGCAGCAACGCGAGTGAGCAGCAAGCATGACGCCTCCTTGCGCACCCTGCCACTCCCCACACTCGTACTCCCTGCCTGGCCTCGAAACGCAGGCACCAAACCCCCGTGTGCGTGTGGGGCGCCCTCGAGAGCACTCAGGTGGATGACAGGAAACGAGGAGGGGAGGCGGCTGATGTGCTGGTGGAAGGCGCGGATGGAGGAGGCGAGGTGACGAGGGTGAGGGCACACGGGCAACCTGTGACACACAGCGAGTGGGAGGGGAGAGAGAAAGAGGATGGGGGGAACGAGGGGGGAATGGGTGTTAAGCACTGATGTGCACCACCAGCACCATAAAGATGCAGAGTTTTGAGCTTAAAAGACATGTCAAAATTGGACAGAGCAGGCACTACAGCAACCAACCAGCAGCAAGTTAGGGCAAGCATTCCAATGTAAAATGTGCTCAGCAGCTCTCGCCTCTTGCAGCCGCACCTGAGAGCATCCAGCATTCTCTCGTGCACCACATGCCTGTCCTCCAGCCGTCCATCCGCCTCCCTGCTCGTAACCACCTTCCCCTCGCCCTGCCTGCCCTGCTGCGCCATGAGCTGTGCCACATGCTGCATGCGGCTTGTGGCGCCCACTGCAGCAGCGTGGAAGAGCGCTCCTAGCAGCGCCGGGTCACACACACACGCACCACCAGCAGCACCAGCAGCACCACCGCCCCCACGAGCAGCAGCCGCAGAAGCAGCAGAGTGGCATGGTAAGGAGCAGAGGGCGCGGAGGTGGGAAATGTGATGGGAGAGCGACAGGGGGTGCGATGGGTCGTGGTTGCGCTGGGTGGCGGTGAGGGGAGTGGCGCATGTGGTGGCTATGAGGTGTGCGACCTGTGGGTGGGGGTGCAGAACGGTTTGGGAGGCACAGGAGGCCGAGTAAACATCTGCATTGCGATCCAAGAGACATGGTGCATACAGCAAGGCCAGATGTGACACGATAGGCATAACAAGGAATTGAATGAGCAAGCGCACAGTGCAGCAGGGCCAATTGAGAGTCAAAGAAGGACATCAGCAATTATGTTTTGCCATCGTCAGCATCGGGTGTCGTATGCGAAACAACATGGAAGAGGGGATTGACTAAAGGGAGAAGTATCACCTTGCGGAAGAGCAGAGGATCTTCGGAGGAGAGAGCAGCTGCATGCAGCAGCCAGTGCGTCACTGTACCCACATTCAGCCCCTCCCACCTCCCCACCACTCCCTCATTCCTCCCCTGGTGCTGCCTGTTTAGCAGGAGCAGCGACAGGCGCCCCACGTTCAGCAGCAGGGCAGCACGAACCAGAGGACTGCTCGCCTGCTGCTGGCAGCACACCTGCACATCCTGCAACCACCCTTGCTCCGCATACTCCCCCTGCTCCTCCCGCACTTGCCGCTGAGAATGCCCCATCTTTCCAGCTGACGCTGGTCTATCCGAGAAGGGTTCTCCGCAGGGGCAGGTGGAGGAAGAGTGGGATGTGGCGGAGGGGAGTGAGCAGCAGGCGAGGGAGGGGAGGGTTGTGGGAGCGTGCAGCGAGGTGCTGCTGCTCCTTGCAACCACTGCCAGCGCTTTGCGCAGCAGGTGGCCTGCCACCGACCAATTGCAGGCTTCCATGTGGCAGCGCGCTGTTGGTTCAGGTGGAAAACGAACAGGGAGGTGAAGCAAAAATCAGATTAGGATGTTCGTGAGGAGCACACAACAGAGTGACCACAATACTGTAATCAAGAAAGGAGTGACGGCTTGAGAATTACATCATTTCACAAAATCAGGAGTCCCAATCATGATTCCCCCTGCCCATTGTCACCTTCCCAACACAACACCCACCTTGTGAGAGCAGTGAAGTGACCAGTGCCTCCACTGCAGCCGCCATCCACGCTGCCGTCACCAATTCATGCGTCTCCCCTGCACCAGCTGCTTCCTTCTTCAACTCCCACCCTGCCCCTCCCACACTCCACCACTCTTCCTCGCACATGGCCCCGTCCTTTGCCCTCCATTCCTCAGCTCTCCAACTCCACTCCGATCCCACGTCCACCCCTTCTACCCACAATTTCCCCCTTCCTTGTCTCCCATCCTTCGGTCTGGCCATGGTATCAGCGCCTCTTGCTATCTCCACGGGACTGAAAAACTCCTCCACTCCGCCACTGCTCTCCTCCTCATCCTCCACCACTTGTCGCCTCCTCGCCCTGCTTGCAGGCGTGCGCACAGATCGTTTCAGAACGCGCTTTTGGCAAGATCCAAACAAACCCGCCATGTCATCCTCTTCCTCTTCCTCCTCCTCCTCCCCCTTTTCCTCCACCTCTTCTTTCTGCTTCTTCTCTGCCTTATCTCCTACTCTACGCCTGACACCCCGTGCTGCTGCTGCTGCCTTTTGAGTCGTTTTCTTGGCAGTCCTTAGCACCACAGTACTCTTTTTACTGCTCACCTCGTTACTATCACCCTTCTGTGCGTCACCATCACTTGCATCACTGGAACTACTATCAGTCAGCAGTGACACCACCTCCACTGGACACTTGACCTTCCTCCGCAGACCACCAGCTGGAGCAGGAGTCGCAGCAGTAGAAGCAGCAGAAAAGGCAGAAATTGTAGAAACAGTGGAGAATGAACTTCCATCCACATCCCCTACACCCGTAGTTGACGTTCTTTTCTTGGCCTGTGTGCCCCTCCCTCCTAGCCTTCGCCCACCTGCCTTCAGTCCCGTCTCCTCAGCCTCACTCCCATCAGCCGCAGTCTTTGTTTGCCTGCGCCCTGCACCTGCCTTCAACCCCTGTCTTGAATTCCTGCGAGCTGGATTTGCCCCAGCATCCTCTTCTGCTGCGCTCCTATCCTCGTCACTGTCTGATTCAATAACCTCCACAACATCATCGTCCTCCCTGTCTACACCAGCTGCTTTATTCCCACCCCTGACAGATGCATTACTGCGTCCTCGCCCTCCTGTCGCACTTGCCCTGCTTCCTCTTCTTCCCATACCCACCGCTTTGCTCTGTGTGCCATTCCCTTTTCCCTCCTCGACTTCCCCGTCTCCCCTCTCACTCTCACTTCCGCCTGCTTTCCCTCTTGCTCGCACCTTTCCAGGTGCCTTGTTTTGTTCCGTCTGTACAGCTTCAGAAGCAGCAGCAACCTCTTGTGCCTCCTCAACAGCTGGCATCCGCAATTTCGGCCCCGGACTTCCACTGCTTCCATCCACGTCCTGCCCCGACTTCTTTGTCCCATCCGCTTTCACCCCATTCATCTTGATCTCGCCCAACGCCTTTCTCCCTGGAGCCTTAGCATTGGCCTTGACCTTACCCGTGGCCTTACCCTTCCCTCCCTTCCCCTTCCCTGCACTCTTCTCCTCATCCTCCTCCCCTGCAGCATCATAACCATCCCCGCCTTTCTCCACACTCCCTCCATCACCACCCTTCAGCCTCGCATCCCCACAGCATCCCTCCGCCTCGTGTGCCTCCACTTCAAATCTCTGCAGAAGCTTGCACGGCAGCACATCACCCTTCTCCTCCTCTTGCGCCTCCCCCATATCCCCATCAGCACCACCAAAGCATCCACCCCTCTCCTCGTCCTCCTCCTCCTGTAGCCCATCACTGCCTTCCCACCCCTCACCCATCAACCCCTCCACTTGCCCTTCAAACGCCCTCCGCACCTCGCCATACCAAGGCACCAACTGCCCCACTGCCTTCTCGGCCCTGCTGTAATGCTCAACCGCTCCCTCCCAACCGTCACCACTTCCCCTGTCACCACCACAATTCTTCCCTCTCTTATCACCCACGCCCTCCCTCCTCCTTGATGGCCTTAATGCAGAGCTCACCTCCTCTTCCTCCTCTTCCTGAGCATTCTCACGCCCGCCCTTCAACCCTTGCAGTCCCAAACCTTCCAGATCATTTCTCCGCCTAGCCAGGTCCCCAAGTCTCTGCTGGAGGTTCGACTCAGCTATGGAAGCGCAGCCTCGGCAGGTGGCCTCAGCAAGTGGGTGTGCGTGGGAGGGGTGGGTGGGAGCAGCACGCAGCAGAGCAGCTGCATGTGAGAGATGCTGCTCGGCCTTGTGCCAGTTCCTGCACTTGCGGTTGAGATGGCCTGAAAGGGTTCAAGCGAAGGGAGGGAGATGTACGGAGGGAGGGAGCAGCGTTGGGTGAAGAGAAACAAGGTAATTGGAACGAAGATGGTACGATAATATGACATAAGAGGAGAAGCAGAAATTATTACAAGGATGCACCGATAGCTGTCTAGATTAATCATTGAGGGCAGAGGCTGATACCGGTTCCATGCACCCACCGAGAGAGGAGGAGAAGATGCCTTGGGCATGTGGGAGAGCGAGAGCACGGGCAATGTGAAGGCCTTCTGTAAAGCGCCGTTCCGCCTCATCAGTCATACCCAGGTGCTCGAACACACTCCCCAGCTGAATGACATGGGGAGGAAAAGAAAGACAGCAGGATGGACACGTGTGAGCGATTGAGGGTTGATATCCAACGGGGAACATGATAATACTGAGAGAGAAAAGACAAGCTGTGAAGCAGAAGTAATGGGAGAAAAGCCCACAATACCACTTGCCCTCTGTATCTCAAGTCCATCACACAAGCAAAAACGCAGTCCACTTTCCTCCCTTCCCCCACCCTCACCTGGTGCAGGCTATCCACATAATCAGCCACGAGCCTCCACGGACTGGGAGCACCACTGCCTGCCACGTCCACCTGCCGCCTGCCAACCACAGCAGGCCACATGTCCCTCATGGCCTCATGCGTCGCCACCAGGTGCTCCCCCTCCCGCATCCCGCACTGAAGCCCAGGCACGTGCTTCTTCCCCCCCTGCGCCTCCTGCTTCTCACAGCCCCCTCCAACGCCGCCTCCAGCAGTCATGCCGGTAGTGGTGGTGGTGGTTGCGGTGGCAGCGCTGGCAAAAGAGCCTTCGTGAGCCGTCACATATGTGATCAGGGAGGCGTCTGAGGAGGCAGCAGTCAGGAAGGTGCCAGTAGAACCAGCACCAGTACCGGCACCGGCACCAGTGCCAGCGCCGGGGGCAGCGTTTCCAGGTGCGGAAGCAGCGGGAGCAGCGGAGGTGGCAGCGGAGTGGGCCGGCATGGCGGCGTCAGTGGCAGCAGTGATAGCCTCACGAGAGGCCGGGGTGAATACGTGGGAGAAGGCTGCAAGGCGCCACCTGTACGACTCTGAAGCATGGTGGTACGCCTGGGAAAACGGGGAGGGTAAATGAACGGAGATGTTGAAGCAAGAGGTAGGAGGACATGAGCATTGAGCTCGAGGGTCTGAAGACATTAGCCAGAATGTGTCGATCTGCTTTCCTCCGCATTAATGACCATCACACTCTATCCCTCATTCGAGTTGAATTTTGAGCCAACTCAAAAGATGTGCCTTCCTTCGCATTGATTACCATCACACTATATCCCTCATTTCCTCCCAAAGTGATCCTCGCCCCCTGCCATGTCTCCCTTTCTGCCCCCCTACCCATCCCCATCCCCATTCCCTGGCCCCCCAAGCACAAGTTTCCAGTGCTGCACTATGCGATGCATGCACAGAGAGGGGAGCAAGCAAGTCACCTTGGTGGCGAGGCCGTGTGCCATGTGATGGTGTGCGAGCAAGAAGTGCAGCCCGCTCTGAAAGGCAATAACCTTCACCGTCTTCACCGTCTGAGTGAGGGAGGGAGGGAGGGAGGGAGGGAGGGATGGAGGGAGGGAGGGAGGGAGGGAGGGAGGGAGGGAGGGAGGGAGGGAGGGAGGGAGGGAGGGAGGGAGGGAGGGAGGGAGGGAGGGAGGGAGGGAGGGAGGGAGGGAGGGAGGGTGGGAGGGATAAATGAATGGATGCATGGGGATGCGGGTCACGAGATGGAAGGATAATGCTGCTCTTCTGGAAGCCACATGTTGACTTTGAACCAACATGCACATTGAAGCAGAACGGCGATTGCAGCATGCAAGGGGCGCCAATCCAGAGCACCAGAGCAGGGCGTTCACGCTTCCAACCCGCACCTCGTCGCCTTGATTCTTCAGCAAGCTGCTCAGCTGTTCCACCACTTGCTCCCCTTCACTACACCCATCATGCAACGCCACTGCTGCTCTCAGAAGCGACCATTCCCCACTCCCTGGGCCCCACGGCTCCTCCGCCGTGCCCTTGTTTCCACACCCCTTTCCTGTGCAGCCCGGATTGTCACTACTGCCCCTTGCTGTCCCATGCAAGGCAGGTCCCGCCGGCAGGTCGGAAGGGAGAGCGAGCGCGCAGAGCATGTGAGATGGCCGAGCATTGCCGAATAGCCTATAGTACACCTCTGCTCTGTCTTCCCACTCTGCATTCTCCTGCTGCTGCCCAGGTTCCGCCGAGGCAGAGGCAGATGCAGGGCATCTGGAGCATGCGAGGCGCAGGGCTAGGTGGCGAGCCATGAGGTGGTGTGATGAGGCCTGGCGTGGAAGAGCAGACAGGATCAGGGAAAGAGTAGGGGACAGCATGAGGGAGAGGGGGATTGCATGGGGAAACATGCACAAGGCACACAGAGGAATGAACGCTCAAGTAAAACATGAGGCAATTGCTGAGAATGGCTCGTGAGAAAGCATTTTCTATGTGATCACACGATGTGATGATACGTGCTAAGTGAAGGAGATGGAAGGGAGAGCTTGGGAAATACCTGAAGGGACAGAAGGTCCATCACGGAGGCAAGGAGTTGGCACTCGGAGGCTCGGGAGAGGAAGGAGGCTGGCCACGGCAATGGAGACAGGCGCATTGCCATGCTCCAGAGGTCCAATGCTCTTGTTAGGTCCTCCCACGCCGCCTGCTTGGTAAGAACATATGAGACAGGATTCGCAGTTCAGAGATGCTCGCAAGGTGAACGTGAATGACAGGACCCACGGGAAGCAAAGACAAGGCCAGGGCAGGGGAAGACAGGTTGCGATGGTATAAAGAAAGTGCCTGCGTGTAATGTCCCAGTTCCTCCCTACCCATCAAACCATCCGTGCATACTTCCATACCTGGTTGCTTGGCTGCATCTCGTACGTGAACATGCCCCTGACGCTGAGAGCAGCGGCGGAGCATCGGAGCACCTCCACCACCGCACGCACTCCCTCTCCACCAGCCCCGGTACTTGTGCATCCAATACCGCCAGTGCTAACCTTCTGCTCCTTCTTCCTGAGCCGCATCCAGTTGCTTAGCAACGTGAGGGGGTCCTTTCCCTTTGAGTTGCCACAAAGGGCGCTGGTTCTCGCCTGAAGCTCGCCTTCCTGTGGCCACATAAAGAAGGGGAGGGAAAAGAAGGGGAGGGGAAGGGGGAGGGGAAGGGGGAGAGGAAGCATAGAGGGGGGGGGATCTTGATAAGAAAGGATCTGGTAAGACCAAGGGCAGGAAGCGGTAGTCAATTAGCTAAAGCATACAACGACAATCACTCTACCATAGCAACGTTGGGATTCATCCGGGAGACGCCTCCACACACTACGCAACCAACTTGACAACACACAAAGGCCAGCCACACCACGCACCATCAGGTCAACAGCACCATTCAGCCCGTCCCAGATTCGACTCTCCCTTGCAGACTCCCGAACCTTCCCCAGTCCTCCCTGCCCCTCCACCGCTCCACTGCCAGCAGCAGGCGCAGCAGAAGCAGCAGCGTTGCGCACAGAGGAGAGGAGGCGCAGGCAGCGGGTGTGCTCCAGCAAGGCAGCAGCGCGGTGCAGGGCGCCGTGAGGGCGGTGTGCAAGGACGTGCGTGGTGAGGTGATGTAGCACGTCAGTGCGCGCTGCCAGGCACCGTTGCTGCTGCTGCTGCTGCTGCCCGTAGTCATCATATGCTGACAGCTCCTGCCCACGTAGTACACACAATGGCATTGGTTGGAGGCGGTGAAAGTGTTAGCGATGCTAAGACACAAAACAAACACGGTTGCTTCTGAACACATGACATTGTGGAATGCATCTCCAACCAGGTCGCCTCACTACCTGCATCATGAGCCCTTCCAGGGCGGCAGGGTCGCTGGTTATGCCCTCAATGGCGTGCAGGGGCACGTGCTCCTCTCCCGCCTCCATCCTCGCTGCTTGCACCTGCACACGCCACCCACCGACGAAAGGACAGGTGAAGCCAAGAACATATTTGCTCTGGAAAAGCCCAAATTGGCGTAAATCTGACAATGCCACAGGCCAGCCCTGCAACGGTTCTCTAGATGGCACAGGCCCGCCACAGAACCATCACTGAGATGCCAAGATACAGAAGCCACATGTATTACCTTTCCCCATTGCTGGGCCAGCAAGGCAGGCCCTTCCAGCTGCCCTTCGCCCTCCCGCTCGCCCTCCCTGCCCACCCTCACCCCCCCCCACCGCTGGAGCCCCTCCTCCAGCACCTGCTGTGCCTGCTCCAGCTGCCCTGTGCGCCTCAGGGAGAGTGCGAGCAGGTTGCAGCGCACACACTGCTGCAGCACCTTCTCCTTCTCCTTCTCCCCCTCCTGCTGCTCTGGCCTGGGCTTCAGCGGGGACGCCTTGATAGCCGCGAAGATGATTGCAAGCGGCTCTAACGCCTGCAGGAGGGAACAAGCAAATGCGTGAGGGGCAAGTGGAAGGCGCGTTGGAGAAGGTGCATGCACAAAGCTAAGGTAAGAAGAGGCAAAAAAGACGGTTGGTGGTGGATGCATAGCCAGTGGGTGAGGTGCATGCGTAGTCCATCTAAACTGATAGCAGAGCTCACAACACACAGACAAGAACCCTGCAGCAGCAGACAGGAAGAAGAAGGTCCCAAGCTAGTAGACTGAGCGAGTGCAGTGTGTCCAGCGTGTGTGTACCTCAGTGTAGCGGCTGGCGTTATAGAAGTGGACGCCCATGTGACTTTTAAGTCGACTCGAAATTATGTGCATGCAGCATGTCCAGCGTGTGTGTACCTCAGTGTAGCGGTTGGCGTTATAGAAGTTGACGCCCATGTTATACACCACACACTGCATCCACTCACGGTCCCTCTCCTCCACCACCCCGCTCTGCCCCTCCACCAGTAGCTTCTTCAGCTGCTGTGCCGCTGCACTCTGCCATGCCAAGGTACATGCAGTGCCCAGGGAATAAGAATTTAAGGAATCTTGGCGAAGCGACTCGTGGAATTCAGCCAGACGAAACGAAGCGGGCATTGTCCGAGACAGGGTGAACATGGTGATTATCGCCCAACTCTACATAGCGCGTTCCTGCAAAACAAGGTGAATAATGCCCTAGTTCAGCCAAATGCTGTCATCGCCCTCACCTTCTCCGCAGGGGGCGAGAGCAGGGCCAGGCGGTAAGCAGCGAGGGAGCTGGACGCAGCTGAGCGGAGCTGGCACAGGTACTGCAAGTCTGGGTCTGAACCAGCCAGCCTGGGTGGAGACACGGGAGAAGCAATCAGAGACGAATAGAGTCCGAGTCAACAAACCGCAGGATGAGAGTGCAGACCTCAAGATAAGGGATGAAAAGGGCAAGGCGAAAGGGCTAGCGAAAGATAAACGAAAAATGGTAACACGTCGAGACGAGCAACATGCAACACACCAAATATGGACTATCTGCCGCGCAGGTTGGCCAGCATTGCAGCTCACCTGTGGAACGCGGCAGAAGCTGGCACTACACAGAGCAGCAGGTCTTGCAGACACGCCCACAGCCGCTCCACTTGGGAGCCTTTCCTGCTGCACGCCCCACCGGTTCCTGCCTTCACACGCCGTGCCATCTCCTCCTGCCACTGCTGCTGGGCGAACGCGGACACCACTGACTCCACACACTCCAGCACGTGACACAACGCCACAGCCCGCTCCTTCTCACTCCCCTCCTCCGACTCTCGCTTCCCCGCATCCCCTGTTTTCCCCAGCCTAGCCAGCTGCGCCTTAATTCCCGCCACTGCCGTTTGGACTGCTCCCACGATCTTCTCCGCCTGCTCCTCCGTGTTTTCTCCACTTCGTCCCTTGGCCTTATCGCTGCCGCCCTGGGGTGGCTTGGCATTGCTGGATGAGTCTCGCTTGATGGAATAGGCGGTAGCGAGGTGCAGAGCGGCGCACACAGCAGCCCAGATGCTCGCCACAGCACTCCCAGGCTGCACACGGGAAGGAAGGTAGTCAGCGAAGCAAGAGATAGGGAGAACATGGATGACGAGGCGCTCGGGAGCAGAGAGTGACAAGAAAAAGGGGGAGGTGAGACTGCAGTGTGTCGGCTTAAGCCATGCTACCTTGGCTGGCGAGAGCTGCTGCTGGAGAAACTGATGCGCGTGCCCCGATGCGCCATGGTCCACTGAATGCGACGCATAGCTCGCCACCACGCACGCTCGCGCCACCAACAAGGGGCACACGGGGGGATTGCCAGACTGCAGGAGTCAACGAGTCAACCACCAGATGCAGTGACACAGCATGGGAACGAGGGGGGTTTGAATTGCTGTTGTAACACGCAGAGCGAGCACAGAGCCGGCCAGGCACAGTAAGATCCCGGCAAACGACTCGCAACAAGTTGAAGCAGCTTGGAGTAACTTGGAGCAGCTTGAGAATCTAGTAGGGTCTCAGTGCATGTGTTAGTTACCTTCAAGGTCTTGGAAGCTGGCTGCATCAGTGTGGTGAGTGCTTGCTCCCACAGGGCCCTGGCCATCGCCTCATGCCCCTTATCAACCGCTGAAGCCGCAATCTTGATCAGGAACTGGCCGAGACAAGGAAATTGATGAGAAAACAAACACGGAAATTGAAACAGAAACCATGCACAAGGTCAGTGAGATTAAGCTTGTTGGGGCATCAGTAGGTGAGACGACGCGCTACGGTGCATGGGTTGCAGCAGACAGAGTCGCATCTTCCTGGTGCCTTACCGCTATCAGCCTCCGCGCGTCACACCACTCCACCCCACTCTGGACCAGCAGCGTCACTAGTTGCATGACGTGCGATGACGCAACTCCGAGGGCCTTCCCGTGAGGAAGCAGCGCTGTGAGAAGCTGCGAAAGGGCGCGCACTAGGATCTGACCGTTTCGAGCACGCGCATCCGCATCCAGCGCTCTGGGGAGTACAGAAGAGGAGAGGAAGAGATGGACGACATTGGTGAGCGAACGGCAATAGAGAGGCAACAGCGCACGAGGGTGAGAACATCAGGTAACGAGTTCCCAGGTCGAAAGGTCGAGAGCAATTGACCACGAAAAAACTCGAATCTTAAAGCGTCTCATTGTTTTCTATGTTGCGGTCCTAAGCCAATACGTAGCAAGATAAAAAATCAACATCGGACCTGCCGAAATTGACCTCCTGCTACTGTAATCATGAGCTAGACTCACCGCAGCCATGGAGTTAACTTCGCCACGAGATCTGGCAGACGTTTCAGCCACAGTGTCGCGCGGCGCGTCGCATCCTTCGAGTCCGCATTTACAGCGGCAGAAGAGACGGCAGCAGCACCAGCGGTAACAATATCTGCAATGCAAGATATAGAGTTAACGGAAGCACCTACGACCAGAGTCTTCAGTTCATCCGTGTCTTCCTGGGTCGGCGATCTCAAGGCGAGAACGGGGTAACTGTCGTGCACGCTGACGTCATCGACTGTCGTCCAGCGAGGTTTCCGCTGTCCGTGAGACGACGGTGGATCACCAAGGGACAAGCGGAACGAAGTGTTTCCTTGAAGAATGCATGCCACGGATTGTAAGAGAGTCCAACCTTCCTCTGCTCCATCCTGCGGGAACTTCAGAGTCAGAAGTCGGTGGACGAGGACGTTGCGGTTGCGCTCGTTCTGATATTGCGTGCTGCTCGTCAGCGCGTTACGGAGCATGTGAAACGCGTGTATCGAAACTCGTGCTATGTCCAGCCATACGTAAACACGCTCGCGCAACTGTCTTAGGCCGGGATTAAGCGGCGCGCCTTGAGAAGTCTGTGTGTCATTCTTGCTGCTAGCACTTGCTGCGGCACTGAACAGCTTAGCAAGTGAGATCTTTGTACTCTGTACGAGGAACGGAAGGAAACGCTTCGTCAACGTCCTTAACTGCGTATCGGTGGCAACAAGCGGCTGACACAGATCGGGCAGTGGCGCTACGTAGTCGCGGAGGTCAGTAGCAAGATTAGAGATTTGGTCCGAGTTCAGCTTCTCGAGCAAAGAAGCTCCGCTGGAATCCATCTAAGATATGAGCCTACACTGGACGTTAGCTCATGGAACCTGAAAATTAGTTATCAGCACAGTTCCAACTGAAGAGGCTTCTAAAGTTGTGAAGTCAAAACGAGACGAAGAGCTTCGCGGTGAGAAAGAGATAGAATGCTGGGTCTTGTGAGGTGAACTAGAAGTATGGTGCCAGTATGTCTTGAAGCCTTCAGCCAGAATTGATGGTGACATGGTCTGCTTGGTTGAATTGAAGATGGCATCGCTCGCTCTTGACATTATCCTCCAACTCCATCCATCCAAATCATCGCCTCGCCCAGACAATACCGAGAGAGGACGGGCCGCGCTAAGGTTCGAGCGAATCCCGCCAAGTTTTTGAACCTGACAACTTCGAACTTGCAGAATCAACCCTCGACAAACGCGTTGCTTCAATAAAACTTCGGACATCCCTTTCAGATATGTATTTTGGTTAATAACAAGGTATACATAATTTTCCCAATCATGTTTCTAGAAGGCTGTCCATATCAGAGTAGATGGGAGGATCAAAATTTAGAGGTTAAGGGTTAGCATAACTCAATCAATGTGCAATTTATGCTCTTTTGCATCATGATTCATGCATACCTACGGTAACAGCTGCATCATACGTCCCAGCAACAGCAAGTCTGCTTGACCACAGACTTTCTCCAGATTGCATCTCATTGAATAAGCCTCATCTGTGTGTTGTGATGTTTAACATAGCCACCTCCGGAACTGATGTAACTGATGCTAGATCCAAAGAAGTGCCAACCACATTAGTATGGCGGAAAAAATAATCAGGCAAGTGTTCAACCTGTGTGCGTTAAGAAAACCCTTGGCACTTTGAATTGGGCTCCAATGGGTCGAAGCAGCACCGCCAGTTGCTCCGTCTGCTAGGCACTGATCAGCCGTGTATTGAAGTATGTAGGCAAGTTCTTGGCGAAGCCTGGCAGGCAGTCCTTTGTCTGAAACGAACAACCAGTGTCAGGAGGAGACACACACACACAAAAACAAATCAACCAGCAAGATGCACACCCATCATAGCCTTCGCACAATCCACAAACGTGTGTGCCTCAACAACGTGCGATGCATAAGAAACCTTTATCATTTTCTGCACCTCCACCTCAAGGATCGCCTGCCAGCCAAGATTGCACAGGGGTCGTCAGAGATAATATTCAACCCTGTCAGGTGGGGCAGAAGCAAAAGCATACCTTTTCAGACCAGAGCGCGAATGACTGAATGCTTGCTTGAATTGCTCCTTGCTCGATTGCAGGTCTAAGCACTGTCTTTTTCGAAAATAATGTTAACTGAGACAGCTTGACCAGGGATGATGCACCGTGATCGCACGCCTGAACTTCCCACAGCATCTGAAAGGTAACGTGATCAAAATGTGATACTGGAAACCAAGGGACAATAGCTGATTACCTTAACTGAGAAGTAGTCTCCTAATGGAAGCTTTGGCATGCACTGCAATGCAACAATACTGAAACTGCCATCGCCTTCCTGCTGAAGATGCTGAACGACCTCACAATTTGTCGACTTCGGTCCAAAAAAATAGTCAATTGGGTGTTCGAATGACATGCACCGAGTCCTGGTGGTGGAGCCTTCTTCTTCCATAGACCATCTCGAGCAATAAAAACCTGCTAAACAAAAGTCCATGGCATTAAGCAAACACGGACAGGAAACTTGCCTAAGGAAACGAAATACATACTCTTGTCTCCTTGCGAGGTGTGAAAACGCTCCAGAAAGGAGATTGCGTTGTCCGAGAACAAGGAGTGAAACACGTTTTCCACGGTTGCCTGATGAAACTTACTGTCAAATTGTTGAACAAGGAGTGACAAATGAGACGGTAAACAAATGCATTGACAAACCTGGATTTTCTTTGCACCAATAAAATGAAGCTTGGATCCGGATGCAGAAGCGAAACTAGCATCATTGCAGTACAATTCTTCCTGGTTATCATGTGCACCTGCACCCTGCTGCTCCGTGGACAAGCAGTTGAAAGACTGGTCCATGTATCCAGAGCTCATGGTCATGTCAGATACTGAAAGCGATCTACATCTGGACCTCCTGGCACCCTCTGGCACAAAGTTTACGTCTCCTGGAATGCTGCATTTCTTAAGTGGTGTAAGAAAGGGCGCACTGGCTTAGATAATAAAGATGACGAGAAGTAGGACACTGACAGATCTGATAGACTCTCACTGCGGGTCATCTTGTCAGCGCCATAGAGTCCTTTCTCCTGGACGACCTGTGCAATCAGTTTTGCATGTTACAGGAACACCTCGGCAAGCTACCGAGACACCTACACTGGACTAGAATCAAGCCAGTCTTACTGAGTCCCTGGACTTGTTCCATAACTCAAGGAGCAGCTTCAAGGCACGTTCTTTGTGCTGCAAACATATGAATGTATACTGGAAAGAGCCACCAATCGTCAGAAACAAGGACCATTGTTAACAAACGGCAACAAAAGAGGTACCTTCTTCTCATTCGCCATATGACATTCAATGCCGCCGACAACTCCAGCAATTTTGGCTTTGCGGACCACTGTCATGTCCCGGAAGTTCAACGAAATCTAGAACAAAAGACACCGTTAGCTGAAGCGATGTATGAAAGCCACGAATTTGTGAGTATACCGTGATAATGCCATTGAGATAGTGTCCACGAAAGCAAGCTTCAGTTTCAAAGAGATAAAGGCGACCCTGGAAGCCAAAAGTTCGTTGAAAGACGAAGTCACTAGATATGCATGAATCTGCTATCATGTACCTGGACGAGTACTTTTCGATGCATAAAACATCCAAATGCGGAGTGGAAAACCTGAAACACGAAATGCTTCGTTGAATGACAAAAAAAGAGAGGATAAAATCCAGAGAGTAAATAGCGGAAGAGGAGTGGTATACTATACCTGGTCTCTATCGAGACCGAAAAAAGACCATGGTTCAGGCTGACGGGAAGCGCTTTTGAGAACCTGCACAAGGACCAAGTGAATTCGGCGAACCCCTCAGAAGTTTGTTTGTTTACTCAGGAAAGCGTTTTAGGATCGATCTGGGACCATACTTGTTTTCCCGAAGCTTCCAGCTCACACTCGTCGGATGGTAGGACACTAGCAGAACTGGATCTCCTCAACATACTCCGGAATGGATGCTCCATAGCGACTGACTACTGGTCGCGAGCGACGTCGGCTCTTCACACTATTGCAATGCAGAGGGGTTATTCTTTCTGATGTGCTTGGCGAAGGGGGGCTCGCTGTATTCTGGTGAAGGAGTTGCCAGTGCGGCTCGGTTTCTGCTTGCTTCTGTGAGTTTATGGTTTGGTATGTGGCGCTAGGAGAGGACTTACATTCAATCTCTCCTAAACCATGTTACACGCAAATACCCGTAATTCTATCAAATTGTTTACCCGTAATCCATGATGTCACACCTGATTTTATCGCGTATGATTCTGTATATTGGCCCTCCACCGTAAATTGAACAACAGAAGCATCACCACTCATAAAGGACAACAATACATAATGTCCTGTTATATTTCCGAAACCAGCATAAAGGAAAAAGGTACGACATGTTAAAATATTCTTTATTTGACAATGGGACTATCAATTATATATATGAATTGTTACGATATGGAATAGTTGACTAAACATTCCTGAGTAACAAATCCTTAACGCGAAGATGACTGCAGCGAGGACGAAATACCAATCGACGAAACAGTTATCGAGACAGTTACAAGCAGAAAGAATTTGAAGTGCAAAGCGCGGGAAAAGTTCAAACGGTTACCGAACCGCACGGTTGCGATGCGGCATCTAGATTAGCCCTAAGGGGAATGTACCCCCTCAGAGTACATGGCTAGCTAGGGACCTTTCGTATTCCACTGTATTCCTATATAAACCCATGTACCACATTGTTATAGTCACTTCTGTCGAGATTCAAATCTCCTTCTACTGACAGAGTCCGTACCCGACATTACTTCAGGAACTTCTACTTCCGCTGCTACGCTCCGTGTGATCAACCTGAGACGATCATATAAGACGGTTCAGATTATATGATGGTATGAGAGCCACCCAGGATTCTTCGCACTACCACCTTTAATTCAAATTCAAATTCAAGGTGGCGTTCGGTACGCGCTCCCGCCGAAACATGGCTGGAGGATCTGGCGGACAAGCGGCCAACACCGCCGAAGCCCCCACCAACCCTACCGCGAACTCCGCGGGAACTACTACCGTCAGCAATGCGCTTCCGGAGCAACTCATCCAGCGTATCACCACGCTGGAATCTGGGATTCAACAATTGAAGAATGACAACCCAGCAACCCCTCAGCAACCCGATCAACCGGCTGCTCCTCCCAAGGAACCAAGCCCAACCACTTTTGACCTCGGGTCAAACTCTTCTGCTCCAGCTGCCCCTCGTCCAAGTGACGAAGCCGTGCTCGTAGCTGAGAACAAGTTTCTAACTATCTCCAAGATCCGCACCAGCACCGTGTTTAGCGGACGTGACTTCTACACCTGGAGTTTCGAGCTCGAGCTACTCCTGCAAAACGCGCATTTTTTTTGCTATTTTGACGGAAGCTACGCTGGTCCTACCAACGAAACCGATGACGCAAAAGCGCAATACTACAACGAATCGCTAATGGCTTATAGCGTTCTCCTTCGGAACATGGCGCCGGCCGAACAACTCGGCATCCGCCCCTACAAAACCTGCCCAGCTCCTGCCCTCGCCGCCTGGAATTACCTTACCAAGACCTACCGTATGGCCCCGGATATAGGCGCCGTCCGATTAAAGGCGCCGGTGCTTATATCTGGATCATGGCGCTTATGACCGTTCGTCAATTATAAGCGCCCCCCTAAAAAACCTTTACTTATTATAAGCGCACGTACAATTTTTACTTGAAAATTTGTTAATAACAGTAGCGAAATTCATTTTTGCAGCGAGTCCAAAATCATTTTCGCTTCGTTTGACTCGCGAAGACCTGACTTGCTGCGCGTCTAGTCAGGATGTGCTGGCATGCTTGCAGAATGATGTGAATTTGCCCGTGTGCAGGAAGCAGAATCGCTTCCGCGCGATTCTGCTTTGAGACGCCCTATTGCTTCGACTCGGTTGAAGTGGCAACAATGAAAGGTACATTTTTGGTACCCTATAAGTATGATTTTGTATTTGTCATCATATAAGCGCCGGCGCTTATGGCCGTTACTCAATTACAAGCGCCCCCCCTCAAAAAAATGAATTTATTATAAGCGCATATGCGCTTATATCCGGGGTGATACGGTATCAGCCAAAGGAATCAGTGTCATCCAGTCGTTTACTTCAGGAACTCATGGAGGTCAACATGGCACCTGGTGAAAAGGCGAACACCTACATCAATCGCTGCCGAAGCGTCCGCGACCAACTCTTGAAGCTCGGAAACACCATCTCCGAGGACATGTTCGTCACCATCGTGCTTCGAGGGCTGGGATCTCACTGGAATCCCTGCAAGGCGCTTCTCCGTCAACAGGGAATTATATCCGAAGCACACCTTTGCGCCACGCTACTGCACAAATAGCGCGACATGGATTCTAACCAAGAAAAAGGGGCGCGCTCCGAACAAATCGCTTTCTACTCCAATCGAGACCAACGGAGAAATCGCGACACTCGCCCACGACAATACTACTGCAAGAACTGCAAAGCCTTCGGTCACTCCACCGAACGCTTCCGATCCGGACCACGACACGACTCCGCGCCGCACAACAACTCTGCTTACGGTCCCGATCACATGCGCCAGGCAAACCGACCGTCTTCGGACCATCGGTCTGCCCCGCGCCAACTGCCACAATCCGACATTCAGCGCTCACCACAAAACAACGCCGCAGTTCGTCATGTCATGGGCAACATGGCGATGCGTATCCCTCGGCGTACGCGCCGCACAAATCAGCGACATCTGCGATATGTCTCTCCTCCTCCGCCAGGGAACGAAGTGCAACCCAACAGCTACAACAATCCCTTCACACAAGACGGCGAATTCGTTTCCGACGAATACGAACACGACTGGGACTTGCCGATACCCCTGCTGGAGTCACCACCACATGACGAAGACTTTCTCAACTCACCATCGATCTACAGCTACTTCTACAGGCATCACATCGACACGCGTTTCGTAGACAACTACCGAGCTACTGGAGATCGACGCATTCCGTTCCGAAACACACCAAACCTAGCCCTATTCGCCCAGCATCGCGCGAACTCCTACAACACGTGGTACCTCGACAGCTGCTGTGGGCAGCACATGGTGGGCTCTGAGCGATACATCTCTAACGCCAGCGCCATTCCCCAACCCACCGTCGTCACAGTGGCCAACAATCAGCAACTCCAAGCACGAGCATGCGGCATCGTCGTCCTGAAGG